GGGGACTCTCCGATGCCTAAGTTAGCATTCTGATTACAGAGAGCTTGGAGAGAAATGAGAGAGCTAGAGAGCAGGGGTTACCATCCTTTTTTCTCCTCCCCCTCCCCTTTGGGGGTGAAGTCTTTATATACCGGAGTCCTCACGAGTTAGGTGGGTGAAAAGCCTCCAAACGGTAAGACTCGTCACATCCCGTCAGAAATCGGGGTACGGTGGTGAACTCCTCGAGGTCGTCAGGCTGGCGCCTGTGTCAGTCGGTGGGTCAGTGTCTGGGCCAGGTTGTCAGGTCGGCGCCTGTGTCAGACGGTGGGTCGGTGTCTGGGCCAGGTTGTCAGGCAGGAGATCTTCCTGCGATACGCCAAACTACTCTTCTGTACCGAGCTACCCTACAAGTGGCGAGAAGCCCAAGGGAGCTATGCCGAGCTGCCTGGTTCCTTGGTGGTGAGCTCCTTGGAGAGCTACCTAGCTCCTTGGCGAGCTCTTTGGTGAGCTACCGAGCTCACGGGGTATGCCATTAATGGTTCTCAGTGGGCGTCTTATAGGTTGCCAGGTCGGCCTGGTCGGATCATGTGCTAGGCTGATTTGGCCAGGTCGCGTAGGCCGCGCCAGGTCGCGCGCTGAACGCGCGGGCCATGCCAGGCCGCGTGCAGGTCTCGCCAGGCTGGCCAGACCGGTGCCCAGGTGGGACACCAACTTGGTAAGTTGTTTGCGTGGGTGTTTGCCTAGTTGTCACAAGGTGCCACATGTTGCAATTTGACTGGAGGGCCAAATCTGCCCTCATCAGCACTCCTTCGTACTTAGTTCTTCGTGGGTTTGTCATTCTTCCAGGTTCGTTCCTCTTCAATCGTTCAGATAGTAAAAAATTGAAACTGAGATAAAAGAAGAGAGGGCGAAGAGTATAATATATAGATAGGGGTATTTTAGTAAAAACAGGTGTACATTAACTCGTAAAAGGGTAAAATAAGTATTTTTGAAAAAAAAGATCTTTGTTTAACGTTTTTCGTCTTCATTATTGACAGAAAGGAGGCATTTGTTGATTTTTTCGAAAATAAAGGGAAGAATTTTGTTAAAATGAAAATATTGGAAAAATTTTTATGATTGTCAGAAACTTCAGTAGAGGTTTTTGTACTTTACCCGAATTTAATTTATCTCCGATTGTCCGTCGTTAGCGTGTTCGAGTTTCATTGGGGTCGCAAGGGTTTCTGCGACTGTGGTTGCAGCAGCATATGTAAACTCCGTTGGAAGGCCGTGTGTGGAAATGTTTTTTACTTCTTTCGCCTCGTGGAATTTCTAGTTAGTGATAACTCAGAACTCCTCAGTTGTTCGAGAAGTTTTCTTTGTAATTCCCTTTTTACCTCTTTAGCGAACCCTGGACCCTGGTCCGGTGGTCCCACAGAAACCGCTCAGTGGAAGTTACTTCTCGACTACGTGTATGCCCCTCTAATTTTGCACGTCTATTCGTTACTTCACCATCGGTTCCTCTGCTCTGTCTTTGCTCTCTACTATATATAATCTCTCTCCGTTGCTTTGTTTAAGTAAAACGCAGCTCTTTAGACATCTTTCGCTTTCTCCTTCCCTGCCATGGCGAAGCTTCTCCAGAACGAGGCCTTCTTCGTTCTCTCCATCCTCTTACAGGCTCTTCAAATAGCAAGTAAGTCATGGACGACTCCCGAAGCTCAAGTTTCAACTGAAATTCCCTTTTTCAATGAAACTTGGAACTTGAAGCGGAGTTTTTTCATGAATTTGTACATTTCTGGTTCTGAAGTTTCACTAGTACTTTGTTCTTTTTCGAATTATAATTCTTTATTTTTAATGTTATTTTCTTGGGTAACTTGTTGCCAGACCGAGAAATTACTGAGATCTCAGGATTTTGAACAGTTTAACTCCGATTCAGACTCACCAGAGTCGCCGCGACCCGGATTCGGGCTCGCGAGAGATGCCACCTTTAAGCCAGCTGACTGGCTACTGAGTACTGACCATGATAAACGAGTCATCCGACTTGAACGAAAAATCAAGTTGGAATCTTTGCGCTAAAACAACCTCCTGCTTGTGCAGACTCCCAGTCATTTATCGGCGTGAATTATGGGCAAGTCGCCGACAACCTCCCCCCACCTGCGGCGACGGCAAAACTGCTCCAGTCCACCTCGATCGGAAAAGTCAGGCTGTACGGCGCCGACCCAGCTATCATCAAAGCTCTGGCCAACACCGGAATCGGCATCGCCATTGGCGCAGCGAACGGCGACATACCCCCGTTGGCCTCCGACCCCAACTTCGCGAAGCAATGGATCGGCTCCAACGTCCTCCCCTACTACCCTGCCAGCAACATCATCGTGATCAACGTCGGCAACGAGGTAATGACGTCCGGAGACCAGAATCTGATATCGAAGCTATTGCCGGCGATGCAAAACATGCAGAATGCCCTCGAAGCAGCAACTCTAGGCGGCAAGGTCAAGGTATCGACCGTTCATTCCATGGCGGTGCTCAGACAGTCGGAGCCACCGTCTTCCGGAATGTTCCATCCCCAGTACGTCGATACGCTGAAAGCCATGTTAGGGTTTCTGAAGGACACGGGTTCGCCTTTCACCATCAACCCATATCCATTCTTCGCGTATCAGAGCGATCCGAGACCGGAAACTCTGGCCTTCTGTCTTTTCCAGCCGAACGCGGGGCGATTCGACTCAGGGACGAACATCAAGTACATGAATATGTTCGACGCCCAGGTGGGTGCCAAATGAGCTCAAATATGGGCTGGGCTCCGGAAATTGAAGTGGGCCAAGCCCAAGCATATGCAATGGGTCTAAATGGGCTGGCCGAACTCTTCTATTGACAAAGGAAACGGTTTGTGCAGGTTGATGGCGTCCGATCTGCATTGGTCAGGCTGGGATTCGAGGTAGAGATCGCGGTGGCGGAGACAGGGTGGCCGTACAAAGGAGACAGCAACGAGGTGGGTCCCAGCATGGAGAACGCAAAGGCTTACAATGGTAATTTGATCAATCACCTGAGGTCTATGGTGGGAACTCCACTGATGCCGGGAAAGTCCATTGATACTTACCTGTTTGCGCTGTACGATGAGGATTTGAAGCCCGGGCCGGGTTCGGAGCGGGCTTTCGGCCTTTTCAAACCCGATCTCACCATGACTTATGATGTGGGTCTCTCCAAGAGCAACCAGCAGGTTAGGTTATTATTTTTTTTTCTTTATACTTCATAACCTTTCCTTTTCTTCTGTGAATGAATTGATGATAGCTAAAGTTGTTTTATCTAAGGCCTATCCTTCTTTCCAAGAACTGTTTTCAAACAAACAAAATAAAGGGATAAAAAAGGAAAAGAAGAAAGATACCAGTCTTCTTACTTATCAAAATGCAAGGTTTTGGCCATCTGTTTTTGGGTTGATGCATAATTTGACCCACCAGTTTAAACTGATGGCCCATTTCAATTTTAAAAATTTTAAAAAAATTATAAAAATAATTAAAATAAAAAATGGCTAAAACCATTGAATGAGTCGAATGGGCCAATGGTTCTACTGTTTGGGTCAGCGGATAATTGACTAAACCAACAGTTTTTGGCCAAGGTTCTTGAGACCGGCATTAGTCAGGGCAAATTCATGCCCACACCATTGTAACAGCCTTTTCCAACCTTACATTGGGAATATCTTCCCATGAAATAAAGCATATTAGTATGGAGATATTCTCAATGCAAGGAAGTAAAAGCTGCCCGAACAGAGTTTGCCCTGACTGAATACGAACTCAAGATTTCTGAACAGTCTGACCATTCGGATCAACGGAAATTTGAAAACACTGTTTGAGTGGTGGCCGTTTTTTCTTAGGGTGACGGCGGGTTTGGATCCCAAACCCCCGATATAACAAGCTAGAGACCTTATCAAGTTACAGAACCACTTGGACCTATAAATGGGGGCCCATTATTCTCAAAACTTCTACATATAATTCATTTTAGGTCTACTTCAAAGTTTAAACTATGAAGGCTGATCAGGGCACATCTCAATGTTTGATAAATGTAGTCCATCCCTTGAGAAAAGACAAAGGTAACCCTATCAAAATACACAGCATAGGCCATAGGGGTGCTCATCTTTTCTTTAGGGAAAAAAAAAGCACTTTTGGCCTACTTACTAGGGTGTTCCCCCTTTCTAAAGAGAAGAATGAGGTGTTTGCTCCAATCACAACTTTTGCACCATTGTCTAAAGTTTTTTTAAGCAAAAGAGCAAACCTTTTTTATCCACCATCCAAAATGAGTGCAATAATGTGTTGGTAATTGGTTCCAAACGACTACATAATTGCAATGATCAATCTTTCTGAACCGCCTTTTGAATACTTCAATCATTTTTAAGCCTTTTTTTTTTGTGGGTCTTCACTCTCTACTTTCTCCAACATGTGATAGCTTCATTCTAAACACTTAAACCACAAACACTATTTTAATTTTCATCATCATCTTTTTAAACTTTCTAATGACCAAAGTTTCTTTGGATTTGACATTTACTTTAATTCTACACTAACTGCAATTAATTAAGAGTGCACAAGGCATTGGCAATGTTAGGGAGTGCTCATTGTTTAAATAAGTGCTTTTTGGAGAAGAGCTGTGCTTATTAAATAAACAACTTATCAGTGTTTTGTGAAAAAGCGCTGTTTGAATGTTGGTTTCTAACTTCGTATAGGAATAGGATGGTATAACTGTTCTTAATTTTTCTTATATCTAACATGGATTTTAATTCATTTGTTACGTTGCTCCAAAAAAAAAAAAAAACTCCAGACTCCAGCAACTCCAACTCCAACTCCAACAACCCCTGTAAATCCATCTCCACAATCAAAGATGACAGTATGGTGTGTGCCCAAAGATGGCATTTCCGAAGCCCAACTGCAGGCAAATCTTGACTATGCTTGTGGCCAAGGCATCGACTGCAGTCCGCTCCAACCGGGTGGCGCTTGTTATGAACCCAACACCGTGGCTTCCCATGCTGCTTTTGCCATGAATCTCTTCTACCAAAAGTCTGCACGCAATCCTTTGAACTGTGATTTTTCACAGACCGCAACACTTACATCCAATAATCCCAGTAAGAACACCTCTCTCTCTCTCTCTCTCTCTCGAGTTCAGATCTGCACTCCACAACGTCTCACAGCACATCCCCGCCATGTATTGGGAACATCTCCTGATGATGACATCATCATTTTTGATACATCATGGAAGATGTTCTCAGTACACGGCAAGAATGTGCTGTGGGACGTTGTAGGGGGCAGATGTGAACTCGAACATTCATCTTCTTGCAGCATATTCATGTCTTTATTGTTGATACATATTTTACTTGTTTTCTTAGGTTATAATTCTTGCATCTACCTTGGTGGGAGTAGCTGAATAGTAGAGGAGCTTTTTCTTGGATTGTTAAAAGCTAAAAGAAGAGGAATACCTCTAATGTGGTCGTGTATATCATATATATACCCTCCTTTAAAATTGATGGAAGATCGCTCTCTCTAGCTATATGTATTAAGGACAATGTTTTATTTATATTTGTAGCAGTGTTTATGTATGTTATATGTGAGAAGTGAGAGGGCTCTTCATATTGTCCAAATTTCAATCAATCTCACTCGTAGTCGTAGGTTGAATGTGACGTAAGTATGCAGTGAATTCGGAGTTGCAAATGACCACACATACAAGTATGCATGGGTGATATTCTTAAGAGCAAGGTTCAAAATTTTGTTACAAAATGGACATATGATATCGTATCGTATAGATAGAGAGTGTATCAGGGTTTTGACTAGTTCAGGAAGTGAAGAATCTTAAACTAATCTTTTTGAATCGGTTTTGAAAAAAAATAAAAAAAAAAGTAAAAAACACTATCAATATTGCCCAATATGCCCCTATCGGTGTATCAAACATATCGATATTTAGAACCTTGAACCTCTTATAAAATTTTGAAAACAAAAAATTAAAAAAAAGAAAAATTTTCTTAAATTACCCTTTATAATTTAACAAATTGACTAACTTTATTCATACAGTTTATATATTATCTTAAAAAATATTCTTACTATTTCTAACAATTAACATTGTCATTACATGTTAATAGAAAGAAACACAATATCAAATTTCTCTTCTATTATTTCTCGGATTTTCAAAATAAACCATGGCCACGAATACAGTTCGCTTTTCAAATTGTCGCCGAGCGCGAAATAGTAGCCTGAAAGACAATCGAACGGTGATGAAAAGCACATCAGACGCATTTACACCCTTTAAAAAAGTGATACAACTAGGCTTTCTTTTTACACATGATTTTGACTAGTTGCTTCAATCCCTTCTTGTGGAGCTTTGGTCTCATGGTGATGGAGACAGTGAAAGGACAGACAGGAATTGGAAGGAGAAAGGGTTCTTGCCACCGTTGTACATTCTGCTCTTCAGTCTCAAGGTTGAAGACAATGAACAGTTCACATAAAGGGTATTTAAGAATTTAAAAAACGTCAGTCACATAATGTCACATGTAAACAGAGTTTGATAGAAAGTTAACAATAAGAGAGGTTTTAGACAATTCTCAGAAACAAGGGTATTTTAAGATAATATGTAAATAATAAGGGTGAATTAGTCAATTAACTAAACCATACGGGTAGTTCAAGAAATTTGCCCAAAAAATTAGTGTGTTTCAAAACCATTGATACATGTGTGTCTTGGTGTATCAATACTTTGAACCATGGTCAAGAGAATGATTTTACTCTATTGGTGGTTGGGTTCAATTCCACTCCACCCTAAGTGGGATTGCTCTTCAAAAACCAAAAAACTAAATCAAACAAATGAAACCAAATTGAAAAATCTAGTTAATAGAACTAATTGGTTGGATTTTGGTTTGATATTAAAAAAAAAAAAATCAAAGGTATTGGTTTGGTTTTGATAAACCAATGTGAAACAATGGTTAACCAAATTGACTGGTGTGTGCGTGTGTATATATATTAACTAATGATTAAGTTCAAGAAAATACAGGAACCGAAGGGACTGGTTTAGTTTAAAAAATATGCCCACTACTGGACTAGCCAAACTGTGAACGTCCCTTCCTTAGGGCAATTATATGGAGCCATGGACAATTGCATCATTTAATGAACTGAGTTTGGATTTCCTCCTCACAAAATTGGTCCTCACAAAGCTACACCCATCTCCCACATTTTTATTCATGGGAGATGTTCCCAAATCCCAATGCATGGTTGGATGTGGTGTGAGGTTGGCTTGAGAAGTGTTCTGTAAGGTGGGGTGTTTATGAGTCAATTAGGTTTGGTTGCAGGTTGTTTTGCCAACCAAACCAACTTGATTGGATTGAGAAATTGGCCATCCAAAACCAATTGACCATTAGTAAAAACCGGTCAGCTCAGGCCGTATCAGTTCGGGTCTATTTGTCAATTTGGTCAATCAGTTTGAAAGACAGTCCAAAACTAATTTGTTAAACTAGGAAACATGGTTTGATTGGATAAAAAATTAATTAATAATTGCATTGATATTATTAAAAATATATAATATTTTAAACTAGATCCATGTTTTTTTAGGAATCCACTTTCCCATATTAAAAAAAATTAGGGCAAATTTCTTAAAGTACCCCTATCTAATATAAATAATTAACATTAAATATTTATTTTCAAAATAATTAATATGAGTTAATATAAATATAAATGATTATTTCTGAATTATTAATTACCATTATGAAAGTCGTTATTAATTATCATTCCGAATTAATAATGAGCAATATTATCAGTAATTAAGTATTAGTATTAATTATTATAAGAAATTATTATCAGCAAGTTATTATTATTAATAATTAATAGCTGGAATTAATTAATTAGAAGTCATTAGTTATTATTAGTACCCCTCTCTTTCAAAAAGTTGACTTGTCATCATCGTCATCATCAATGACAACAACTTGATAAATACATAATTTGATAAAAATAGGTAAATATAATTAATTTATTTTTATCTTTTGAAAAACTAAACAAGAGAAAAATAAAATGGTTAGCATTGCAAATGAAAAATTATTTGGATTTTTGCAAAAAAAAATATTGGGCATAAAAAACCAATTATTCAAAAATAAGGTCATTAACCAAAGAGTAATTAAAATTATTCAGTAAATAATAATTTTAAGAAATTAAAATTAATAATTAATTATCTGCTCGAATTAAAATGTGTAATTTCAGAAAATAATTTTAAGTAATTAAATTTTGCTATTAAAATTTTTTTAATAATAATCAGTATTATTGATAAATTAATAATTATGAAATCAGTAATAACAATAAGTGTATTATTATTATTATTATTATTAACTAATAATATATTCTTATTATGTGTATTGATTTTAAATCAGTAATATTAAAGTACTACTACTACTATTATTATTATTATTATTATTATTATTATTATTATTAAGTAATTAATTTGTTATAATTACAATTTTTAGTTAATTCATGAAATGATAAATTCTTTTTTAATTATTTTAGTTTAACAATATTGAATAATTGAAATTTTTATAATTTAACTTTCACTAAATGAAGTATTTATTGGAGAATAATAATAGTATTAATTATAATCACTTCTAAATATAAATTGATTATATCCCAATTAATAATTAACATTTTTAAAATACTTATTAATTATCCTTAATTAATTAACATTCTGAAGTAATAATTATCATTATTATTAGGAATTAATTATTAGTAAGTAATTATAACCAGTAATTAATTTTTATCAGGAATGGTTAGTATTAGTAATAATTAATTATAATTATTGATAATAATAATATAATTTTATTAATTAATATAATATTATTAATTATAATTACTTATAATAATATAATGAATTATTTCATATAAATGTATGAATTATAATTTTTTATAATAATTATAATATAAATAATTAACATAAAATATTTATTTTCAAATAATTAATATGAGTTAATATAAATATAAAATGATTATTTCCGAATTATTAATTACCATTATGAAAATCGTTATTAATTATCATTTCAATTTAATAATGAGCAATATTATCAGTAATTAAATATTAGCAATAATTATTATAAGAAATTATTATCAGTGAATAATTATTATTAGTAACTAATACCTGGAATTACTTAATTAGAAGTAGTTAACAATAATTAATTAGTAAGTAACAATAATTATTATTAGTAATTAATAGTTGGAATTAATTAATTAGAAGTAGTTAATAGTAATTATTATTGGTAAATAATAGCTAGAATTAATTAATTAGTTTAGTAGTTAACAATAATTAATAAGCATGTCAAATTAATAACTACCTATTTAATGAAACCGGTTTGATTTGAAATGCATTAAACCCGATTTGACTAATGAAATACTGAAACGACCCTAATCAGTATATTAAAAGGCCAAGTGTGGAGTTATTTTGACCCAACCCTTTTTCTTAGGAAAGGATTGAGAGTAGAAGCTTCCCACTTCTTATGACTCTGCATGGTGGTGGGCTCCACTCTACATGTTAATGGGCTCTGTTCTTGAACTACCACTAATCAGAATTTGACATGTGTCTATTGTGTTTAAAACATTGGAAGGACAGGTGTCTGAATGGAGGAGGGCCGCGTGTTTGACTGGGGGAGACTTTGGCCTGAAAACCTTCCTTTAAAATTTTCTCTCTTTTTTTCTTCTTTCTCTTTGATTCCGAGGAGGAGTTTGGGAGTAACAAACTCATGCAGTGAGGGACACTAGGACTGTGGGACATGTAACCGAAATCAATTGATCTACTATTCATAATTCATGTAGCGCTAAACGCCAACTAATCACTAGGGTAAGTTCTCTGCTTGCTTTTGGTTGTAGCGAAGACTTGGGTTCAAATCCTGCTATCACCGGGTAATGGCTTATGGGTATAGGACAGGCTCTCCTTATTCCTTAATCCAGATTCTAGATTCACTCCCCCACACTAGGGCTGTTCATAAGAACGATCAAACCCACCAATCCAACCCAATTTGATTCAAATTAGTTGGTTTTCAATTATTTTTTATCAATCCCAGTTCATGCATTATGCTAATGGTCGGGTTGGTTTTCAGTTTGGTTATGTGTAAATCAAACAAAACTGACCCAATTCGATTATTAAATTTAATTTTTTAGGCAAATTTCTTAAAGTACTATAGTTTAGGAAATTAACTAACTCTATCCTTATTGTTTACATGTTGTCTTAAAGTACCCTTAAGTTTTCTGACAATTGTCTAAAACCTCCCTTGCAGCTAACTTTCCTGAAGTGCCATTTCTCGGCATCTTCTCAAAAGAGCTTTTTGATCCCAAATTCCCAATTTTCTCAAAAAAGCTCAACGTAGGCATGTATTTCTGAGGGAAAAGCGATGCATTACAACGATGCAAAATCCATAGCGATGCTCTCATGATAGTTGTGTGGGTCTGTGGGATAGAGATTTAGGCCCCCCGTTCACTTTTTGGTAAGTTACTTACCCAAGTAAATGCAATTACCTGGGAATATTATTCCTGGGAAACACTTGCCTGGGTAAGTGCATTTACCCATGTTCTTTTATTTCTCATGTAGATAAGGCAATGGCTATTTTAGCCATAAAGTCCATTATTAAAAGGGGCATTTTTGTCCCATTCAAGTGTTGGCAACTTCCCCCTAGGTGGGAAAGTTATTTACCCACCTCGGAGATGGGACTCAAGAAAATAAACTTTCCCTGGTCCCCACATAAATCTAAAAAAAGAACATGGGATTCTTGGTCAATCGGAACCAAAATCCCATTGACCAACTTTCCCCCCTCTCAAAATCCGAAAAAAGAATGCCCCCTTATTGGCAATAAAACCCATTGCTCCAGGTATAGATTTATTAGATGAGAATCATCTCTAGATTTTATTTCGCCTTGGCCGTAGTTATGGAGAGGGAAGGAGGATCCGACGGGTTGCCGTCACCATTCCGTTCTCGGGATCCATAGGGACGCCTCCTTTGAAATCCACAACGCCTACCAAAATCTCATGGTGAAGAAATGGTGGAGAGCCAATGGGCCACCACAATACTTGTTCGTCTAACCATCAAATGATCAAGCACTTCTTGCACACTCCTTTCAGATTCAGCATCAAGGGCACTAGTGACCTCATTGAGGAGGATTGAAGGATTCCATATATAATATAATAAGAGTGAACTAAGATATGGCTATTGACTGATTGACCTGATTCAGTTTTAGTTAGTAAGTTGGTTACCAATTTATCATTACTAGTTCATGTTAGTGTCAAATAACTATAGATGGATATGATGCACAGGTAGGGGATACATGCATATTTTGTTTTAGAAAGAAGACAGATAATGAATCTAATATTTATGTTTGAGTTTGAGAAGGGGGAGCTTTGACTGATGATGAACAAGTAGCAAAGAGGCGGATCAGTTTTGGTAGAGACGATGTCTAGTGCTGATGAGGGGTAATTTGGCCCAACCTATCGACACCCGGACACATGGAAGTGACCTGCTGATTGGATGATGGCTCGGCATTCCTTGCCACCTCAGCAAGACAGGTCAACTTGGGTACCTCGGGCACTTTGACTCAGATCGAGGTCCGAGCAGCTCGCAATGGCCCAACCTGTCGAGGTGACACATAACCAACTTCTAGAAGCAAGCCAACTATCTCAGAGCTCTTCGAGATCATATTGCACGTCTGTAAGCCTTATCCTTATCCCACTTGAATTGGACGGACTCGATGAGCCTTATCAGCTAACACGAAATCTACCTCCTGGTGCAGACTAGATTCCTAGTAGTACAAGCTGGGGATTTCGGAGGTGTTTCGTAAGACCTATGGCAGCCCACCTATATAAGGGCACTAACCTCAACCTCACAAGGTACGCATGATTATTTGCTCACTAGCCTCTAGCATACTTGCTTTTAGCTTGTATGCAGAGTACTAACTTAAGCATCGGAGCACCCACACCGGGTAAGCCATCCCGGGTCCTCTGAGTGTTCCTTTCTTGCAGTTCGACCGGCCAGCAGAGCAGACTGACGTCCGAGCTACCCTCCAGCTAAGAGCATCCAGATTGTGCACTATCAGGTGTGTCTGATGAACAAGTAGCAAATATGTGATGTATCACGCTACCGTACATTAGTATTGACTCTATAAATTTCTTGCTTTGCTTCTCTAATCTTCCTTTTTTTGTTTGCTCAATTTTTTATTTCTTTTTTTTTTAGTATTTGCATTTGGGAAAAAATGGAAACATGGGATTTTTAATTTGTTGGGTTTTATTTTGAAAATTTGAGAAATAGTGGAGGGCAAATTTGATATTTCATTTTTTTCGTTAGTATTTGACGGTGTGTCAATTGTCACAAAACTTAAGGGTACTTTAAGACAATAGGCAAACAGTAAGCGTAGAGTTAGTCTATTTCTTAAAAAATTCATACAGTTATATGAAATAATAAATTATATTATTTTTATTAGTAATTATAATTAATTAAGAATAATAGTGATTTCTGATAAAAATTAATTACTATTTTTAATTACTTACTGATAATTAATTCCTTATTTATATTAATGATAATTAATAAGTATTTTAATAATGTTAATTATTAATTGGGATATAATCATTTTATATTTATATTAATTCATATTAATTATTTTATAAATATATAATTAGTGTTAATTATTTACATTATTATTATTATTATTATTATTATTATTATAAGTAATTATAATCAATGCTACTATTATAATTAATACTATTATTATAAAATCAATTTTTATTTCATTAATTAATCAAAAAAATTAATTATAACAAATTATTTACTTAATATATAAAAATTAAGTACATACATAATAAGAATATATTATTACTTAATTTAGTTTAAAGTTTACAATCATTGTCAGTACTCATTAATAGTTAGAATTACAATCGTTATTAATAAAGAAAATACTTTATTAATTACAAACTTGATTTAACTTTTAGGAAGCAACCTAATTTAACTTTTAAAAAGAAATAACTCAAAATATATTTATTAGATAAATAGTAAATACCAAATAAAGTGGGTTATTGTTTACCAATAAGATCTCATTTAATATCTTAAATCAAATTAAAAAACATAAATTAATAGTGAGTTTCAAATAAAATAGGTCAGAATAGATTGACAATTACAAAGATGCATGACCTATATTACTTTTTTTTTAATTTAATTTTTTTATAACTGAATAATAAACTTCAAACTAAATTATAAACACATTTAGTTACCACGTACTTAGTACGGGATCATTCACTAGTATATATGTTAAAGGAAGGTCTTTAGTCTATAGCTCCCCACCATTCAAACATGTGGCATTCTTATTTTTCTGGAATCCAGACACGTGGCATTTTTTTTAGAAGTTGTTGTTAAAGCCCACAACTCACTATCACCATTCACACGTGACATTTTTTTTTTTAAATCATGCTAAAGCCCACAACCTAGGCTATAGCTCCCCACCATTTAGACAAGTGGGTTTCTCATTTTTTTGAAAAGCTAGACATGTGTCATTTTTTGAGAAGTTGTTGCTAAAACCCACAACCCACTACCCCCCATCCAGATAGGTGGCATCCTATTAATTCAAGAAATAAGATTCAAAAAGTGGGTAGTTTCCACTCCTAAACATTCTCAATAGACAGTTATTTATGAGCTTAACATATGTTTATCCATAGTATATTAAATACAATTGGTGGGACCCATTAAAAGATTATCATAAACCCATGTTTGTTTTTAAATGATTTTTTTTCAAAAAGAAAATATTTTATTAATTATAAACTTGATTTAACTATTAGGAATCTACCTAATTTAACTTTTAAAAATAAATAACTCAAAATAAATTTATTAAATAAATAATAAATACCAAATAAAGTGGATTATTGTTTACCAATAAGATCTCATTTAATATCTTAAGTCAAATTAAAAAAACATATATTTTTAATAAAGATGCAACACCCGTATTAGTTTTTTTTTTAATTTAATTTTTGATAACTAATAGTATACACATTTAGTTACCCCGTACTTAGTACGGGGTCATTATCTAATTTAAACATTACAAGGAATAATTAGGAGAATGGCAACGAGAGAAAGGGAGAGAGATCGAGAGCTTCTGATTCCCGTGACAGCAGGAAACGGTGCAGAAGATGGTGGTGGCTCCAACTTATCGTCTTCTTCGCCCTCCACTGCCACCTCTTCCTCCCACCACCACCACCTCCATACCAGAGAGGTTTTTCCATTTCTCCTGTCTTATTCTTAGTTTTCTTTTCAGCTTCGAGGAGATGTCTAATTACGTAATCCCATGTTTGCTTGCCTTTTTCATAATGTTTTCGTCGATCGATCTGTGTTATTGTTTTGAGAGATCCTGGCTCCAACAATGCCAGTGTTTTATATTCATCCAATTTTGATTGTGCCATAAGAGGGAAACAAACTAATAGTGGTGTTGTGTTTGAGCATTACTAGATTTGGTTTGCCTTTTCCTTGCGATGCTAATTGCATTATGAAGTCTTTTTTTCCGGGTTCTACTAAGTAGGTTGATCTGCTTTCAAATGTTGGAAACCTGTATTTCTTCTTGGTTGATTGAATAATTGAAACAACTGATATCAAGATTGTAATTCCGTCATGGCAATTGCTTAAAATAATACAACGTTTTCATTTTATTATTTTTTTCCTTCTTGTTTCCTTGAAAACGACAATGACATGTTCATATTGAGAGTTGAGTGGCAAAATAAATATGTGCCCTGAAAAGAGTAAATTTAAAAAGTTGCACTGAACCCCACTAAAATAACAAAGTGCATGAAACCCTCTAGCCTAATTGGTGAAAATGGATTTCCAACACATGCTTCAATGTAGTGAAATGGTGTGAGCATGGTGGAATCCTTGGACGTTCAAAGAACTCACATCTCCCTTGCTAAAGCATGACTGACCCCATCTCCAAAAGGAACTAATCTCATTGAAAATATATCAATATCAATTGCTGAAATTTATCCATCTCTCTCCTTTGTCTGTGTGCATGTGTGATTTTGTTGTTACTAGATGTTCATGGAACCTAAATTATCAGAAAAGTTCTTGAACTCATAATTGTCTCAACAAATCTGACTGAATAGCTATTTTCTTTTACCTCTTTAGGCATTTTCTAAAGTCATTCGTAGCTGGGCTTCCAAAAAGTTTATGTCTGGATGGTAAGTTTTCTGTACCCTGATCATTTATGTTTTTTCCCTAATTCAGAGTTAACCATCTTTTGTCTATAAGTTTCACCTCAAAAGAAACTATCATTTGTTTTCTTCTTTGAACCAGAATGTTAAGTTCAATGTTCAAACATTTACCATATGTGTTTTTTTTTCCTGTGGCTAGGTATGCATTGTTGTATATAGTTGGCATTCCTAATGCATATGCATGCATTTTTATAGCCTTAAGAATTCTATGATTAAGCATGTAATAAAATAGTATAAACCTTTGCAACCTTCTATAACACATTTGCCATTGCTTTGCAGTGTCATACTTCTTCCTCTAGCCATCACATTCTACATCACTTGGTGGTTCATTCATTTTGTGGACGGATTTTTCTCCCCAATCTATGCCCATCTGGGGATTGATGTATTTGGTAACTATGTTCCATCCTTCTACTTTTAGTACATCATTTTTTTAACAAAACTGTTTCTGAATCTGACTTTCAGATGTACAGAATCTATTGATTCTTGCAAAAGAATCTATTTTACATACAATCTGGTAAAAACTGTTATAGATTAAAAAAGTAACAGAAAAACCCGGGATACAAAAATGAAATGTCAAAATGCACAAACATTTTAAAAAACCATACAACATTATCTGGGATTCTTGACCATATATAATAATAAGAAAGCTGGAGAAAACAAAGATAAACCCAAACCTAGCAAAACCAATCCAACTATTAGTGGTCTATGATGTTTTTTTTTTTTGTGATAATTTTTGGTCTATCATGTGTTACACAAGGTATCACTACTAATTAACTAGATGTTCAAAAACGCTTATGATTGCACCTAAGGTTGCAGGCTAAATGCTCAGATACAAGTAACAGTGACATCCAGGATACTATCTTCTAAAAGAAGAGGTTGTCACTTGGAACCTTCTGCACTTCAATAAAACACAGAGGGCTACTGCCTGAGATTCTTTATGAAAGGGTTTTACTTATATGTTGCTGAATGTTTTACTTCTAAATTTTGTTTCTTAGCCTCCATAATCAAAATTACAATAGCATTTTATTTGAAGGAGGTTTGAGTAGAATGCTAATGGGATAATTTCTTTCATGGCAATGGTAAGTAAGATTGCCATCTGAGTGTTAGTTATTGGATGTGTAAATAATAAAAAGGTTGTGTTTCCACAATAATAGGGTTATGACTTCATTTCATGAATCAGTATTGCATATTACTTGTTTCTTTATGGTAGAAATAATAACCTATTCCAATTCGTGCATAACTAATTTTAATTTATCATGCATGTATGAATCAAAAAGAAATTGTCTCATTAAATAGGAAAATGTAGAAAGGTATTGAAGCTAAGTGTTTTTATATGACTTGAATTAGCAGGCAAAGAAAAAAAATATTAATTTTAGGTAAAGGTTTATTTGGATCAGATCCATCCGCAATTAAATCCCATCCAATTGTTGAAAATTTAAATCTGAATCTGGTCATTGAATCTAGGCAACAAAGCGCCCTTGGAGGCTTGCCTTGCCTAATTGCCAAGCAGTTTTGTACACCTAAGCGGTTGGGTGACAGTGCTCCCTGTCGCCCAGCCTCGCCTTAGCGGTTAATCCAATTCCACTTTCATGTTTTTAGGAAAACTAAAAGAGTTGAAAGAAAAAAAAAGTTAAATTACTTTTTAACTTATATATTTATATATGAAATATGAATTTATTAACTCTAACTTTCTTGTAATTGTTATACATAATGTTTAATTAGGCATGGATCTTAACTGGGTCGAACGGGATTAAGTCCATATCCAATCTAATTATTAAACTGATGAAGGTTCTAAAATCAGAATCAGATCCAATTACATAGAAAGATTTTCTGAATCCGAAATATAATTGGATGTTAGGTTGGGTTTAGACTTGTTAACGGGCCGGGTCGGGCTTTGTTTCTGTATCAACAGAATACATCAGGCCCGAGCCCTAGCCTGGCCCGACCATAGGGCCTAGGTCTTGAGCCCGAGTCTGGCTAGAAATTTGAAAATAGATTTTTTTTTCTTTTTCTGTTCAATAAAAAAAGTGTTTTATTTATATCAAAAGCCTCAAAACTCAAAAGCAATAAAAGATCTCACTAATACTTGAAAAAAAGAGAAGAGGAGCAAAGAAAAAATATTGTATATATATTTTTTATTAAATAAAATATGTTTTTGATTATATAATATATATTATCAAGTTGGGCTCAGGTCAAAAAAGCCCGAGCCTGGCCCTAAAAGAGGTTGGGCCCGGTGTTTTAGGCCCAAGATCGCGGGCCTAAAATCATGTCCAAGCCCGACTTAGAACGGGTCATGAACAGGTCTAGTTGGGTTTCAGACTACCCAGCCCATGAACAGGTCTAGTTGGGTTTCATACTTTCAAACCCCATTGACAGCTCTACTTTAGCTTTGGGTAAACCCAACAGAACAAAACCAAACTGACCCAATTATATAGAGTCTGGGTCTATATTGTGTGTCCTATAAGTGAACCAGTTTTGCGTTTTGATATTATGTATCAATTATAATTGGATTGGGATTGGTTTTGGTTGTTGCAAACGTATTATTGCCTAAATGTGTCAATTTAACAAATGAGTAGTTTATTGTCAAATTACTGGTTAAAACTATAGCTGTGAATTATGATGATAGTTCCAATCAATAATTGGGTTAGTTCTGGATCTTTTATCATAAACCCTATAGGGTCTAGTTGGGGACTTGTTCTGCACAGTTACATTGGTTCATGACTGAGCCTACCCTGACCCAACCCACCTATTGACAGCACTATATATACAAAGGTAACTTTTGAGAACCACTTTTGGCTTTTATATTTAGATTACCTTTGTGAGACAGGTCTAGATTTGGAGATTTTGATGAGTTTCTTAAGATTAGAAGGGAGTCTATCTTATGGAGAAGGGGGTTTCTATTTGACTCCTTTCTGATTTGTTTCTCTTATTGTAATCTCCCCTTGGTCATTAGTGCATTTACCACTTCTCTTCACTTGTGAATATAGACAGTTCATCAAACCACACAATTCTCACGTTTCTGTGTTTAGTTATGTTCTATTATTGCTCTCAATTTCTTATTTCTATCAAATCCATAATCACCTTTACACAGACACTAAAATATATTGATAAAAGAAGTTCGAGTAGAATCTGATTAATTCATCTATTACTTGGTATGATAGAGGCCTATATGAACTAATATTAGCTTGCAGGTCTTGGTTTTGTCACCTCCATCACTTTCATCTTCTTAGTGGGTGTGTTCATGTCCTCATGGCTGGGAGCTTCTGTTCTTGGTTTGGGGGAATGGTTCATTAAAAAAATGCCACTTATAAGCTACATATATTCTGCCTCAAAACAAATAAGCGCAGCTATATCACCAGGTAATACATTTATTTGAACTTTGTAATCTAAGGTGCAATTTGCTTTTAGTGAATAAGTTGTTAAGGAGGTTGTGAGTTCTTTAATGGCTGAAACTGAAACTAACTTGATTACTATACACTCAAACAGTCTGTAAGCTTCTGTAACTTTGAAGTCTTAAGCATATAGCTTTTTGACAGATCAGAACTCTCACGCATTCAAGGAAGTGGCTATCATAAGGCATCCACGTATTGGGGAATATGCATTTGCATTCATCACATCGACAGTGATTCTACAGAGGAGTTCAGGCGAAGAGGAACTTTGCTGCGTTTTTGTACCCTCCAATCATCTCTATATTGGAGATATTTTCCTCATCAGTTCAAAGGATATAATGAGGCCAAATTTATCTGTTCGAGAAGGAATAGGTGAGTGTTCTGACAGATCAAAGCACATTGATCAAATCCATTTTCAGCATAAACATCATTTTGATTTTTGATATTTTTTTTCATAAAATGCAGAAATTGTTATTTCTGGAGGCATGTCAATACCTCAAATATTGACTACAGTGGATGCACAAACCATTCGGGCAGCTGCAAGAATTGGCAGAAGCCCAAAATTTGCAGTTCCACAAGTCTAATGGCTGTAAAGAAGTTGTTTAGTTTATTTATTTCTATTCATTGAGAAAGCACAGGGGTATTGATCAATGAAATAGGTGTTACTTTTACTCCATTAATGAAGCAATTTCCAACAGTACTGTATTAACAAGAGTTGCAGTTTTACTGTTAAGAGGAAAACTCAACACTAAGGCCTTGGATCGGGTGTTATTGGAGTAACTAGCAAGTTCACTTAGACAAACCTCACCCCCGGATTCTCCTTTTCAACTACTAGAGTGTAAATTGTGACTATGCTGAAGTTGTTTGGTTGCATGACTTATTTGGATGGCTACGTTTTGAAATTAACCTCCCATGTAGCTTTCGTCTATTCTTGCCATCATTTTCTGTATCTTTAGGCTCAGTTTGTTTGCATTGCAATTTTCATTTGCAATATATAGTATAAATGCATGGGAGTGCAAATGGGCAGAGTGTAATTTCCGGTTTACTTTTGCTTCAGATTTGACTTTGTTTTGTAACTTATTTGTTTGTGAGAGGTAAAGTCAGAAGAGAAATGTAGTCCCCACCTTATAGGAAGATAAAATGATAAATGTAGGAGAGTTATTTGTTTGGGATGAGCTAGGAATGAGAGGGAATTGAGGTAGTAGGGAAGATGGATGCAAATTTTGAGATGCAAAAGTTGCGCTGCCAATGAATATAATTGAGACAAGAAAGTACAAGCTTTGAATCAAATAGGAGTGCAATTCATAATTACAAACAAACAAATGCAAAACCGACCAGGTGCAAAATTTATATTCGGTTCAGATTTGTACTACAGCAAAAGAAACCAGGGAAGGATAAGTATTTGTAGCTATTAAGTTTTACTCTTTTATATGGTATATTTCATTATTATTTTGCCTCTAGACTACGAGAAATAGGGGTGTAAGATGACTGATGTCCCACTGTCCCACAACCATTTGAAATCATATCCCTATATGATTGTTTCAAGTGGAGCCCGGATTTACTGGAAACCAACAAAAAAAACCCTGAGCACATAACATTCAGCCATATATTGGGCATATCTCTTGTAGATAAATGCAAGGTTCAAAATATCGATACGCCCAATATGCTGGTAGGGGTGTATCGGGCGTTTCAATACTTGTTTTTTTTTTTTTTTTACTTTTTTTTTAAAACTGGTTCAGGGGAGCCGGTCTAAGACTTCTCCATCCCCTGAACCGGCAGACCCCCGATACACTCACTGTAGGGGCGTATCGGAAGGGTCTCGAAACGATATGTATCGATCAATACGGACTGATACGTAACAATACTTTGAACCTTGCATAAATGTTACATTTATTGAGAGATGTTCCTGATGTTCAACTGTATGTGCAGAGTTCCGGTGTGTGCAGAGTTTTTTATTGCAGATAATCCCATCACTTCAAGGTGATTGAGTTCTTATAAGTTATTATCTATGAAACTACTTTTGTTAAGATGTGGTTTTAGCACTGCACTAAAACCACGAAATCAATGTCTTCGATATATTGTTTTGAACTGACTTTGACTTGGATAAAACGACAGACCATGTCACAGCAACAGTGTATCTACCTTAAAGCCATTGCTGAATATTGGTCCCAGCTATATCTACATGGAGTCTCAGAGGAATAAACTGAATAACTTTGGTATCTTTTTTTCTTGTAAAAGTGGTCGCTCTTAGATTCGAACATCATATCAGCATGAGATTTTATCATTACAAGTGGTTTTGGTGCAAGTTATAAGAAGCAAATTTCACTCATTACATGTAGAGACAGGATCTGCTCCTCATAAACGGGCACTTCCAGGTACATTTATCCTGCATTAGAAACATCTCCTGTGAATATTCACAATAAGTATGGGAAATATTTTCAATGCATGATAAGATGTGTGTGTGAGATGCCAGTGAGCACCAGGTGTGAAGAGAAAATCCGGTCTCTTACATGTAGTATCAATTTACATCTTTATCAAGTCTTTATCCTAAATTCCCAATAATATATATATATATATATATATATATATGACAAAACTCTATCGACTTCTCATCTTTGCTCCTATAAAAAGTCAAATTTCAACAGTCCATAACTTTTATGTTGCAGTTCCTCTTATAACTTAACTGCAGAAAATATTGGCATTCTTACATGATTTGTCAGTTTTCTGATTAGTGGAAGTATATGAATGATGACATGTGTGATGTGGCCAATCCAAACCGAGACCGTATATTAGACAAGACGGGATCTGCTCCTCACTTAGGGCGCGTCACACTGATAACATCTTCGGTACTTATAAGTTTTTATTGAAGATGTTCCCAATGCACGGTGGATGTACCTGTGAGGCGCGTGACGAGCATATCCTGTTCCCTATTAGACAAGGGGCCCTGTACTTTGGCCGATCAAAACTCAAGCAAGTCTAACCGATCCACAGAAAAATAAAAGATCTTCCGTTGCCGGGAATCGAACCCGGGTCTCCTGGGTGAAAGCCAAACATCCTAACCGCTGGACGACAACGGAGTCACGAGGAGTCTTCTTCATAATTTTATTTATGATGTTAAGATCCACGAACCATTTAATAAAATGTCCTAAACCCGACCCGGAGGCCGAACCGTTTTTGTCTCCAGGTCACGGGTCACCAGTTCAAACAGTTCAGACCGTTTTACATCATCATATATATGTATTAAGTATATATATGTATGTATAAATATATATTTTATCAATAAATAATGTATAAATATGTTTTAGATATGTTATATATATTTTTATATTTTAATTCACTTTTTATTTAAAAAAATATATTAAAAATTACAATTTAAGGCCAAAAAAGGATTATTTTTTTTTTGCGAAAATAGCAGGGCAAGGTGACTATGACACCTTGGAATGCATAGATCTCGAAAACTTACCCAAAATAAAAAAAAAAAAAAAAAATCACCCCAATCGGACATGAGAGTGCAAAGTTATGGCCTCCGAAAGTCTACATACATTGAGTGTGCAACCCACGACCTGGTGACTGGGTCGAACGGGTCAACAGTTGAACCAGCCAAGTCAAACAGTTCTTGACCAAGTCAATGGATTTTGACCGTTTGATGGGTCTTGACTGAATCAGACCCAAAATCTTGGCCGAGTGACGGTTTGACCAACGGCAGGTTAAAAACACTGATCTAAAGCACTGACAACAACCACAAAAGAAAATGTTTTCATCGTGTAATTATAATAATTTAGGGGTTCTTGCTGATAAGGGCAACTTTTAGCCCCTAATATCAATAAAAACCATTTTTTTAATATAATCTCTAGAATAGGCTACCTTTTTTGAAAAAAATATCAAATGAGGGCAAAAATTTTATTCACCTCATTCCTCCTTCGAACGGTGAACAACGGTGGCAAACCCTCTCTCTCTCTCTCTCTCTCTCTCTCTCTCTCTCTCTCTCTTCTTCTTCTTCTTCACATCTGAGTTGTTCCAAACTCAGAGCATAGCAGAACGATGAGATCCCTCTCCACTCTGCTCTACTATGAACGGTGAGATCCCTCTCCCTCTCCACTCTATTCTACAATACATTTGTTGCACCTAAGGGCGCCAGGTTTGATGGCTTACCATCTACGACGAGCTGTGTCAAATAGAACAAATAGGTTGTGGTGAGAGGAGAGGGAAACTATGTTCTGCTCTAAGTTTGGAAGAACTCAGATATAGAGAAGGAGAAGGATGTAAACAATATTTTTGCCCTCATTTGATATTTTTTTTTTCAAAAAGTAGCCTATTCTAGAGATTATATTACAAAATTTTTTTATTGATATTAAGGGCCAAAAGTTGCCCTTATCGGCAAGAACCCCAACATTAGGATTTCATGCATACCTAGCTTGGGATGCATCATGCATGGCTTACCTAGATCGGGAATCAAGAATTAGGACCCAATCTGACACCTTAAAAAATGTGCAAACACATCCTTTCTGAGTCTGGATCTTCTCCTCACACTACACACCTCACACCGATCTCACAGCATGTCCTGGCCGCACATCGGGAACATCTCCCGTTCTTGAATTTATTATTCATGGGGAGATGTTCCCAATACAAGGTGGGATGTGATTGTGAGGTTGATGCAAGGCACACTATGCGAGGAGCATATCCCAATTCATCCTTTCCATAGTACAACTAATCTACTACCAGCAAAAGTCCACACCTCTAAAACATGGGCCATGTGCCAGCCACAGGGTATCATAATTCAGATTCCAAATCCATGTACGGTCACATGGTTTGGCCTTCTTCCTTAATCGTCAAACTAGCGAGGGGCCCCTACTATGCACGAGCAAAAAATGATGGTAAGTGGCTTGCCAAAGGTTAATTATTATATATAGGAACAAATTTTGCGAAAGGTAAATTTTTAATTAAAAGTTTATTGAAAAAAAGATCTATTTAAAATAAATAAAAAATTGTGGATAATAATATATTTAATTTAACAAAACAAAACAATAAATAAATAATTAGGGCCATCATGCAATAGAGTGAAAGAGGAAGAGATGACTTTTGTCATTGTATTTTGTTTTATATAGTGGAATAATTGAAAATAGTTAAATAATAATTAATTCAATTTAGTAAAATAAATGAGATAAATAGACAATCAAGTGAGAGAGTAAATATATATAAATATATACACGACTCTAGGTCTTACTTTGCTAGCAATAATAATGTGTTAGATTATTAAATTATTAACTAATTAAATAATTTAGTAACATAACTGAATAAATAAATAAAACTTTATGTATTATCAACACAAGATTGGTAAAGGCTATCTCAAATTATTTAATTAATTAATTTAGCATTGTTAATGGGTCAGGCTGAATCGAGCTACCAAGACCATGAATAGGTCTAGTTGGTATACCCTATACATCTCACATCGCAATAATAAATGAGTTTTTATTTATTTATTTACTAAATTTATTTATTTATTTTAATAAATTAAGTAAATAATTGTTTATCAATTTTTATTTGTTGAATTTACCAAATTATTAAATTAAATAATAATTTATTTACTAACAGATTCTCGGGTTGTCAACAGGTTTATTTGTTTACTTATTTTACTAGATTAATTAATTATGGGTTGCCAACAAACTACATTGGGTCTTTGGGCTTTCTGGCTTGCTCTTGGTCAAGCTTGGACAAGAATTTAGGCTTCAAGCTCAAGCCCGACTTTTTTTAAGCCTGAGCTATCAATTGGTCAATAGTCTTGGATAAGAATTTAGGCCTCCGAGCTCGGGCTTAGGCTCAGGCCCAAAACACCAAGCTCGACTTTTTTTTTTTTTTAAGTTTGAGCTATCAACGGGTCGTCAAGCGACGCACTGTTGGTCGGGCTTGCATAAGAATTTAGGCCTTCGATCTCATATTTGGGCCCAAAACACCAAGCCCG